GCTACAGTTCACGGGGGAGCAATTTAGTTTTTACCAGTAAATTGTTTGTACAAGGATAATCATCTTTGTTCCACAAGTGTCATCTCTCCATACTGATGTGTGAAACCTGCGCTTTTAAATAAACAGCCTCCTTTGTTGTTTTAGTGTCAGATTATGACGCGACATAAAGCGAGCGTGATGTCAGTGGTTGCTATTTTGGGGCATTTCTTTCAGGTTATGTCTTCTCCCACATGAACGCTGGATCTGAATGCGTGGGAACAGGTTTTACGTATATGTAGATGAAAAATTCGGTCTGCCTTTAAACACATACTAAATCAAATGATCTCTCTAGGCAGATTAATGAGTCATCAGTTGCGTCCATTTTTTCTTTTTTCTCTTTTTCGTTCACTTCATTAATAAAAGCTCTGAGCAAGACTAAAAGATTTTGCTACAACACGCACTGCAGTAGATCAGGATAAGTGCCTAACAGGTTTGTGCCTTTGTGCACATGTGCTTATTTGGGTTTGTGCGGTACTGTGCGTGTATGCCTGTGATATGAGTGTTTTTGTTGAAGCACTAGCTCAAGCTGTTCTCCTTCCAGATGGGACACTTCACCTTAACAAGAATGGCAGATGAAGAGAGACAACGAGACAGAGAGAGTTTGTGCTTGTAAATGTGGAGCTCTGGCTGTGTGTGCTTATGATTTTGTGGATGTTTGTTGTGTGTGTGTGTGTGTTGAGTGTGTGTGTTGTGTGTGTGTGTTTCTATATGGTGTGTGTGTGTGTGTGTGTGTGTGTGTGTGTGTGTGTGTGTGTGTGTGTGTGTGTGTGTGTGTGTGTGTGTGTGTATGCCAGCCTGTCTGCAGAGCAGCCGCATTTACCATGAGGCTTGGAATTGAGTCCCTTAGTGACTCCCATCATAGCCAGCATTGTTTCCCCAGAGTGACATAGCTAAAGCTTAATGGGGCTGTTGATGGTGTGTTAAAGCTTGGTGTTAATTATAACACCATGCTCCGTTAAACACAGTCACATTAGCATCAGCATAAGGAACACTGCTGAGCTCTGTCCCAGGGAATAAAGTGACACTGCTGATTCAGTCAACAGTTGAATTAAATGTTGATAAAATACGCAGTTTAATGGTCATGCACTCATATGCGATCTGATGTGCTCAATAATTGAGGTTTCAGACTCTGTTTTATGGATGTCACGGTGCTAGAATTTCAAAGTCGAAACTGATGCCCAGGAACATGTGCAATACGCAATATTTTTATACCAAAAAAAGGGGAAAAGAATAAAAAGAATTAAGAGGCTTTTTTAAAGTAAAAATTAGATAATGCTGTCTGACTGAGTCTGGTGACTCGGCAGTAGATTTTGTTGCTGATCAAATCAGATTTAGCAAGTGCCTCTGTTTCTCTCTAGTTGCTGGTAGACTTTTCTCAGCTTTAGACTGGGATTTTAAGAGAGCATAGCACTTCTTAGATACATACAAATGTTTGTCCGGTTAAATGAAAACCATCTATTAATGTTACCGACAGGCAAGACTGATAACGTTTGCTGCTCCCACATTATCGTTATCATTTTATTACTACTTGAGCTGCTAGTGAGAGGAGGGACCGCGTGCCTGCTTGTCTGCAGTGGTGAAGTGTGAAACTGTGTATCATCTGGAGGAGGCGAAGGCAACACTGTTGGTGTCAATACTGTTGCAAATGAGTATCTAATCCGATTTGCTGTTAGTATTGATTTAGTATCTGAAAACCAATTTTCTTTTGTTAGTTATTATACAGCTCTCTTGACAGATTTACATTCCTAAAGCATCTTTGCAGAGTGACTTGTAGTTTATTTCAGTGAGAAAGGAACCGTGCCTGTTGTGTGACTTCTCCTTAGTTTAATTTGTCAAATACTACTGATGAAAAAGGATGAAATGCAGTAACAGCTATCCTGATTGATTATATACTACTACTAATGATAATACTGATAAGACAGGAGGCAAAATTTGAGCGGGCCGAGTAGAAGGTGTTAAGAATTTCACTGGGGGTAAGCAGGAGGGACAAGATTAGAAATGAGTGTGACAGCTCAGGTTGAGCAGTTTGGAGACAAAGTACAGAGGTAAGGCTGAGAGGGTTTGGACATGTGCAGAGGAGGGATAGTGGATACACTGGATGAAGAAGATGCAGAATATGGAGCTGTCAGCCAGGAGGAAAAGAGAAAGATCTCAGAGGAGGTTTGAGGTGTAGTGAAGGAGGACAGTGTGACAGAAGTGCATGCTAGGTACATGGCGAGATGGAGGCAGATGATCTGCTGTGACTGATCATCTGTGCATGTCTGTGCAGAGCCACTTAATGAATGTTTGCACCCTGATGTTTCCTGATGTTGATTTATACCACTGAAACAGTCAGTGCAGCTGATCTGTTGCTTACCCCGTGTCTGTTCTCAGAACTAATCTGCTTTTAAATTTATTTACAACTATTCTGAATTAAGATTACTAGTAGAAAGCAGTAAAACTTGTATATTTAATATTTCTATCAAATCATAAATAAAAAGGTCAGCTGTGATTTGTAACTGGCTGTTATATATAGCGTCAAAGCTAAAGACTTATGTCCCATTTGTCATTTGAGACTTGGGGCCAGCAACCTTCACTGCCATCAACAGGTTCTGGAAGTTGGAAATTGTCCTTGCCTCACTGCATAACCTTCTCCTTACATCCCATTTCTCTAGATATTTCCAGTAATCTACCTTTTTTGTTATCAACCTGATACGCTGGAGATAAATTTGTTCTGCTGTTGGCATGACAAAGCCAAACATTATGTTGGTGCACTCAGTGGTGCCTCGCTGCTAAACATGCTTTTTCTTTATACCAGATACGGCTGGGCGATGCGATAACAACCTCATACAGTACCTGATAAATAACAGCCAAGGTGAAATATTGCAGGAGGATATTAGGTGCATGTACACGTGTAGCTACAGCATACTCACAGACTCATACCTGAAATGTATTTTCCCATACACGCTCAACTTATTCGCACACAAGCACAATGCCCTTTGCCTTTTATCAGCATAATATCTGCATGATTGGCTGAGGGTAGTTATTTATTTCTTTTCCAGATAATGAATTTTGTAACAAAGCAGCTGCATGCATATAACTGCTTTCTTCATCTGAGTGCCTTTCCCAGGCACTGCAACAACTGCTTAAATCATGTTTGCTTTCAACGCAGCTCAGTGTTGGGGCATTGTTTCTGGTGCCGCAGAAGAGGTGGAGACTTTCGGGAGTGCAAACGAGTTTAAGCCTTTGAGCTCCCTTTTTCAGTTTGTTTTGTTTTTGTTTTTTTGGCTCATCTTCAGCTTTTCTATTTTACCATTTCCAGAGATTAGGCATGGTTCATAATTTTACAATTCTGTAGAAATTATATTAATTGAACACTACCAAGTTAGAACAGAATCTTTGCACATTGATGTTGTTACATGTGGGCCGGGGTGGCCACAGGTCACTCCTCGATTCAACATGCTTTGACAGGAAGCTGTGAACTTTATTTTCCCTCTGCATTCAAGCTTAACTGGTTGCATTCATAACAAATGCACTTATCACAATGCATGCTTTTAGAACATGAACTTGCATCAACAACTTATTTACATTCATGTAATTGTTTCAATACAGTCGGCTTGGTTTAGTATCTCTCACGTGAGGAACTCCTACTTTTATTTGTCAAATGGGACGTGTAATACTTTGTAAAGCTTTTGCAGTTTACACTGTGCCAAACCATCTACGAGGCTTTAAAAATATTCCCCCATGTTTCAAATAACATTGTTTGAATCGACAAAGAGCCGTCAGTGCTTCAAAAAGGCTGTTTGGCAGGCTGTGCTTAAAGTCACGTTTGTCAAGTGATAGTTATTAAGCCTGGAATTCTAGGAAAAACAGCAGGCGGAATGCTCCGTTATTCAATGAAACTACTGATAAGCGCTTATTGTCAACACTCGTGCTCATGAGTTTCATTCACAACACATTCTCACTTTTTTTTTTTGCAATGTTGGAGGAAGACTAAGGTAGATCTGTCTAGATCTTACTTGGTCTCCCTTGTGATTCCTGACCTTTCTTCATAGCGTGTTTTAGAGCATCATAATTAGTTACAACCTGCAGAACACCACAGGGGGAGACGAGGGCAGTCTATTAGGAACAACCTTGCTCAGTGAAATTGTCACTGTGGGCTTCCTGAGGTTGCATGGTTTAATGCTGCAGTTTCACGCTGCCTGCCTTGTTTCTTTTTAAGGACAGAGAGCCATGGGGGAAGAGAGGGATGGCGGTTATTAGTGATTTCTCATGTCAGTGATTTTAAGGCCACCCAGGGGAGACAGCTTGATAGGCAGGCCGCAAGGTGCTGAGATTTGAAGTGCTTGGAGAACAAGGAGGAGGATCTGAAATCAATTTTCTTGCTTAGCTGTTTTCACCGTTTGCTGCTTCGATCATGCGCTAAAAGTTAAAATTTCCTTGAAGTTGTTGCTTGATAAGTCAAGCTGATCTTACTATAAAAGCTACAAAGTGTCAAGGTGTTAAAGTCCTTCTACAAGTTTCTCTGTCCTCTGCTGCTGGACATCTGTCTCTCCTTTTCTCTGCTGTTCACTCCATTAATTTTAACCTGTTCTTTTGATTCGGTCAGCCTCTGCCTGTATTCTCTCTTTTTATATAGCTCTGCGAGAGGAATCGCATCAAAGGTTCCACTGAGGGAAATGAGTTGTTGTGCAAGGAGAGGTCATATTTACCAGCACATGGAAATGTGTGTAATAGTGATGTTTTTGCTAAATCTGTCCAGTTCAGTCAAACTTACATGAAGCCACTCACAGCTAGCTCAGGGTAAATGGGTGAATGTGTTCTAGTGTGTATTTCTTTATGACCTGTTAAATTAAAAAAAATGCTTTAATTGTCTGTGCTTTAGAAGTGAAATTATCTTGCCTTCACTTGCTCAAGAAGAAATATAATTCCTAATTAGAGGCCTTTTTAACTGATAATATCTTCATTTATTCTCCACATAGGTAATTGGCCAGCTTCCGTGGGATTTGATGTCACCTTTAGATTGGTTTAACTGAAGATGGAAACACTGGAGTCTGAGCTGACCTGCCCGATCTGCCTGGAGTTGTTTGAAGATCCTCTGCTCTTGCCTTGTGCCCACAGTCTGTGCTTTAACTGTGCTCACCGCATCCTGGTGTCTCACTGCTCCACCAGCAAGCCCCTCGAATCCATTTCTGCCTTTCAGTGTCCCACCTGTCGTTACGTCATCACGCTGAATCACCGCGGCCTGGAGGGCCTTAAGCGCAATGTGACGTTGCAGAACATCATTGACCGCTTTCAAAAGGCCTCCCTTAGCGGCCCCAATTCTCCCACAGAGAGCCGTCGCCTGCAGCCGCAGCGACCCTACACCGCCACCATTAGCGGTACAATAGCTGGAACGATTGGCGGCGGCGGTGGCACAAGTGGAGGCAGCGCTCGTAGCAGCCCAGCCACTTCCAGCCACTCCCACCAGCACGCCAACCACACCAATCACATCAACCACACCAACGCTAACCACAGCCCAGCTGTTGTTGCTAAAATGGATCCGCGGATCAGCTGCCAGTTCTGTGAGCAGGATCCGCCACGCGAGGCCGTCAAGACTTGCGTCACATGTGAGGTATCGTACTGTGACCGCTGCCTGCGTGCAACACACCCCAACAAGAAGCCCTTCACCAGCCACCGCTTGGTGGAGCCAGTGCCAGACACCCACATCCGTGGCTTGACCTGCCTGGAGCATGAGAACGAGAAGGTCAACATGTACTGCTTGGTGGATGACCAGCTCATTTGTGCCCTCTGCAAGCTCGTGGGACGCCACAGAGAGCACCAGGTGTCCTCCCTCACTGAACGTTTTGACAAACTCAAGGTTAGTCCCTAATAAGGTCATCACCAACAATTTCAGTGCACTGCCCCGATTTTGTGTTTTTTCACTTCTGTGTTTGTGGAGTACGGTGAGTCACAACCTGCAACTAATTTGACTAAAACATTGTGATTTACTGCTAAAGCTGTTCTCGTCTGAACACAGATGTCTCATACAACATGCACCATTTATTATAATACATTTGTTTGCAGTTTGCTACACAATAAAATCATTAATCCGGTCACTCTTGCCTTGGGAATGGGCAATTTTGTTGACTGTGAACTTTCACTGCCATAAATATTGCATCATACACAGCCTTTATTCTGCAAGAAGGGCTGAAAGACAGATCAAAAAGAGAGAGAGAGAGAAAGAGAGGGACAATTGGAATAGTGTGCTGGTGAGAAGGGCAGAGAGAGAAGGAGACCAATAGGGAGGGCCGTCATTATAATAGTCGATGAGCTGGCATTCCCTGTGGCCACTGAGCTTTTTCAGAGGCCATGAGTAAAGACTGGGACTGCTGAATCAGGGTGAAAAACAACAGAGAAAGGCACAAGCTGGAGCTAATTCCATCACTAAAGGCCTAAAGGAGTCAGCATCATTCAGCTGGCCTAAAAACTTTTATCATGAGTTTGTATTGAGCACATGTGTGTGTCTTTTGTGTTAGAATCCTTTTCTAAAGAGAAATTGTTTTTCTAACTTGTATTTGTTTACTAATGAACCTATGACTAACTTATACTAGGTGTGTCTTTAGTGGAGACGGTTGATCTGCACTCATACAGCCGTGTCAGGACATTTATGTACTGTGGGATGGTATAATAACACCTTAAATTTCTGACGCAGAGCAAATTAAACTGACAGGTGGAGGGGTCGAAATAAAGCAAACCTTGCAGCCTCCAAAACTTTAGAAAGTAAGCATTTTGTATGCCAATAAATGATTAGCATGTCCTGGTGTCAGAGAGGAGCCTGTCAACTCTCATATTTGTTGGACACGTCTAGTATACGTTCACAGAGCTCCATGGTACTACATTTCAGTGTATCTCAACACACCAATTTTGTATTCTACATCAATTCAACAACTTTTCTTGAAAAGTTAAATGTTTATTAAAGTGGATTTTTAAGGCGAAAGGAGCCAGCTAAAGTAGTTTCAGCACCTGATGACTCATGGATGTCTTACTGGGAGGAAGTGCTGGGGTAGACCCAAGATTTTATCTCTTGGCTGGCCTGGGAACATCTCGGGGTTCCCCCGGATGATGTGGTAGAGGTGGCTAGTGAGAGGAAGTTCTGGGCTTCCCTACTTAGGCTGCTCCCTTGACCTGGACGTGGATGAGAAGCAGTAAATGGATGGATGTATTATCAAGGTGGTAGACCACTAAATTAGCAGAATTAAGCAGTGAAACCAGTACTTGTTAATATTCAATTTGCAGATACTCAATTTGCTGAATTCTTAGTAACGATTCAGGCTCATGTATTTGGCCTGTAGACTGTTAGAGATAACTTGACTAGAGGTAACTTTGTGCACGTATTTGCCCATACTTTAAACTCATTCCAAGGGTGCATGGGTGTTGCCGTGATTTGATTTTTGTCAAATAAATTGAATTGTGCTGCACTCAGAAAGAAACAAACACCTTAGCAGAAGAGTCGGTGAAGTTTAAGTGCAGTGCTGTAGGTGGATGTTGTGATGTTTCACATAGAAAAAAACGGGGATGTATTTCTGTGGCCTCACAGCACATTTGGCCTTTGTGTCACTCTACTGTGCAAAAAGGCTGGGCGTAAGAGTACATTTCAGGAGACATTGTTAACATTCATGTGCAACAAAAATCTATCTCATCAGGTCTCTGAGGTGAACACAGCACCAGTGATTGCTTTGAATCCATCTATTTGAATTCAGTGAAAATGCAGGTCCACAGTCTGCATTACAGATGAGCGCTGCCAAACTTTGGCTGCCTCCTACAGTTTTGCACCAGCATGTCACCCAAATTCCTCCTTTCACAGATTTAACCCTGTGGTGTTTATTTACACTAGTGTTAGCCCGCTCATTCTTTTCAAGCTGTGGGAGAGTTTACTGTAAGTAGTTAGTCCCGCTTCCTTTCGGATTCAAAGCTGGCTGTGGCTCGTTTAAACGTTCCCCAGCCAAGGCTTTGAAGTTTCTTGACTTTGAAATCCTCAATCAAGCCCAAGTCAAGGAGTAGGCCATCCATATTCCAAGCTCCAGCTCAGCTCACAAGTGGCAGTAGCAGTTAACTTAAAATCTTCTCCCTGCTCATGACAAGTGCGTGTGACTTCCACTGGTTTGAGTTGAGTTTTTAATCATATGTTACTGATGTTATTGACCAGTCTTCTGCAATTCCCCAGCGAACCTGGCTGTTAATCAGCACCACTAAATAATTGCACTCAGTTGCCCTTTTGACCCCTAAATCCATCCGTTTGATTTTTGACTTCTGAATTAGCCTTCATATTATTTCCTCCTCCTGCTGTGTACGCTGGGAGCTACACTGCCACTCAATTATGTCTTTCACATTAAGGGGGAAAGGTAAGCTTCCCTTGGGCAAGCAGGGTGCATATTATAGGAGCAAAAATGGCAACAAGTGCAAGCACTGTTAAAGCCAGAAATGTGGCACTGCAGAACTGCAGGATAGTGAGTTAATTCTCCAGGCAGCTGTTAAGCAGAGCTCTTGCTTAGAAGCACAGACATCGGTGTCGCATAATCTCCAGATGTCAGTAATAGCATTTTCTTAAAGGACTACAACTTCAAGGTGCTACTCTTTGCATTTTTTGTTTCTGCACATTCGCTGAAATTACTGCTAACGAAGGGATGCTCTGTCGTAGCAGTGAATATCTCATCACCTGCTGCTTTGGAAGTGTTTATAGCCGCCTCATTAGAATGTAATTTAGATAAATTTCGTAGCAGCCTGACATCCCCCCTCAGATGCTGGGTAACCAAATCAAGAAGCTGAAGTGTGCACTCAGCACCAGCTTTCAGTCTCGCATGTTTGATGTGACACTGGGAGGTGATGAAGTCTAAGATGAAAGCACGCAAAAGGTCCACAGCATCAGTGGTTACTGGCCACGGCTTTAGAGGTGTCCATTCATGTTCTCCATGTTACAAAAGCTCATAGCTTCTGTTGTAATTAATGCCATCAAGTGTGTGTTAATTGAGTTTTGCAACATACTCCTATTACTGCTAAGAGTCATCTTTGCAATATGAAAGGAGCTGGAGGCAACACTTAGCTTCCCTTAGCACGAACACTTATTCTGTGTTTTGAAACACCAGTGAACGCAGAAATATTCCAACAAACGACATTTTGTTGGTGATTGCTGGTTAAGCTCGTGCTGTCCAGACATAATACATACTGTGTGGTTAAACAGAACGGCATAACCGGTGCTGGTGAGAGAAAGAGACAGTTTATGTGTCAAGTTCATTTTCCACTTCCAGCATTAAGAGAAGTAGCATTACACAATAACAGCAGGAAAGCTTCTTCGCTCCCAGTAATCAGCCACCATATGTAGATGGATATCAAATGAATTTTTTAAGTGTATTTAGTCATAACAGCCATAATAGCAGGAACCTTCACCATCAAACACACAGTCAAACAAAAAGGTAGAGAAAAGAAAAACTACTGCCTCTGCAATCAAACGGCGAACTCTACTTTTAAAACAAACCAATGGACAGAAATGCCCTCCTTGTGTTGAGATAATCATTATTCATATTAAACATTACACACAGACAAATTCCAAAGAGGTCAGAAATACTGAGGGTAGGTGCTCACCCTACCACTCAGACATGTCTTACGTGTTGGATACATGCAGAGATGCATTAATCTATTGCAAGGCAGGTTAAATTAAATATGGATCTTTTATAATGATGATGATAACATAAATTCAATGTATTAATTAGATAAAACGTTTACAAAAAACAAGGTTTTGGCAATTTTTCTAAGCATAATTGATCCCATTAATTGCAAGAAGGTTTTAAAATGTAAGAAATGACATAGACTACAGAAAAAAAGATTTCTGGAAAGTCAATTAAATGACCTTTGTCATTGTTGGGCAAACAAATTCCCTTTTTGGTGACATAAAAACTGGGGGTAAAGAAGTAGCAAAGCCTAAATATGAAGTTGCAAATCAGCTACAGAGCCAATTTTCAAAAGGCAAGAGCCTGAGTGAAGCTTAAGCCCAACCAGATGTGTTCGTGATGAGCGGTAACACGCTAGATCATACTGTGTTCAACATGTGGTGACTGAAAGGAGCAGATCAAAAAGAAACAAGGACTGAAGGAACTGATGAGAAACGGATTACATTACAAGTATAAGTCTTCTTCCTCTCAGCTACAAATGCTGGCACTTAATTTACTCACTCTCAGGCTCTTGGATGTTTGAATTGTGTGCGCTTTAACGTCTAGAAGAGAGCGAATCAGCTGAATTGGTGACGAAACCTATAGCAGCGCTGACATCTGTGACGGACTGTCTGGCTATCACGTGTACTAACGCTACAGCAGTGCTGTTTTTCTTTTTTGTCTGTTATGTGCGGTTGTGTGTACGATGGCCTTCATAGGTCTGCAGGTCTCACATGGAGCTGAACGGGATGATAGTCTGTTATGTACACGAGAAGAATGAAGAAATATGCAAAACATTTCCAAGCGATTATTGGATTAATTCCAGTTTAGGCTCAGGCAAGTCTGTCACCAACCCCACCCTTCCCATCCCCGCCCTCAGACTCTCCCCTCTCTTCATTTTTCTCAGTCCCTGTAGCCTTGCTTCTTTTTCCTTTATCCCCACTGTTTTTCTTCAAACCCCCCCCCCCCCCCCAACAGCCCACACATTAAATTCTTTTGCCCCCCCATAGCTCCTTTAAGGCATTTACTAACTTTTTTCTGTGTGATGGGCGCATCATGTCAGCTGCTGACTGTATTTACACCCACTTCGCTATGCTAAATCCAGAGGGAGGCAAGCACATGCATACAGATTTGTCATCCAATCACATAAAAATCATCTAGCACGTAGAACATT